AGAGAATGGAGGGGGCTGGCTCTTCAAAGTCTGCAATAGCATTTTTAAATGTATATATAAGTTGTTCTGAGGATCCAGCAGTTGTGCAGCTCTCTGGAGCTGATAGTAAAATTAAGTTAGTTGCAGCACCCATAGGTGTAAGCATTATTAAAGTAGTGTTCCTTCATTCACTGTTGCCCATTTACTGAGTCCTAGCAGGAAAATGCAGATGCAAACATGAATAAGATCCATGTGGACTCAAGCATAGCACCCATGCATTGTACTGATAAACAAGAACTATATGCTCAGAATTAGGTGCTATGGGTGGAGAGCTGATTGCTTACTCATTAACAATTTATTGAATATTTATTTACTCTATAACAATTCTATGGGTCTAAAATGAAACTTTTTTCTTTTAAGTGACACTACTATTTATCGATAGTAAGACTATTTTTTAAGGAGCTGAGTTTTGTTGGCTAATTTATTGAGCAATAGGATACAAAGTTTGGGGGATTTTTTTTTGGATTTCTGAAATATTCTAATTTCATGTCTGAACTTTTAAAAGAACTTCAAACGAGTTCCTTTTTATGGCTGAGTAATATTCCATTGTATGCATGTACCACAACTTCTTTATCCATTCATCTGTTGATGGACATCTAGGTTGCTTCCATGTCTTGGCTGTTGTATACAGCGCAGCATTGAACATTGGAGTACATGTGTCTTTTTCAACTATAGTTTTCTCAGGGTATATGTCCAGTAATGGGATTGCTGGGTCATATGGTAGCTTTATTCCTAGTTTTTATTTATTTTTTTAAAAAATATGGAACGCTTCACGAATTTGCATGTCATCCTTGCACAGGGGCCATGCTAATCTTCTCTGTATCATTCCAATTTTAGTATATGTGCTGCCGAAGTGAGCACTATTCCTAGTTTTTAAAGTATTAGCCATACTGCTCTCCATAGTGGCTATATCAATTCACATTCCCACCAACAATGCCAGAGAGTTCCCTTTTGAGTCAGTTATAGTGAGGTGGGTGAACCTATTGCCTGTTACACAAAGCAAAGTAAATCAGAAAGAGAAAAACAAATATCATATATTAAGGTATACATATAGAATCTAGAAAAACAGTACTGATGAACCTATTTGCAGGATAGGAAAGATCCAGACATAGAGAAGAGACCTGTGGACACAGTGGGGGAAGAAGAGAGTGGGACACATTGAGACGGCAGCATGGAAACACATACACTACCATATGTAAAGCAGATAGTTAGTGGGAAGTTGCTATTCTTCTACCCCGTGCTCTGTGACAACCTAGAGGGGTAGGATGGGGGAGGGGGAAGGTTCAAGAGGGAGGGGAGATATGCATACTTATGGCTCCTTCATGTTGTATGGCAGAAGCCAACAAAGTATCATAAAGCAATTCCCCTTCAATTAAAAATAAATTTTAAAAAAACCCTTATCATCAATCCTTGTTTCCCTCCCTCTAATAAATAATTCCCTTCTTCCCTAGACTACATATGAGTAAATGATTGAATAGTAGGCTTCCAGTTAAATATAATTCCCAACTTCTCAATGATAGATAGCAATGGCACAAGATCAGCTTTTTATCTGAACCTTTACTCAAGGGAAAAAATATTTACAGAGCTGAAAAAGTCAAAATTGTTGATTATACTTAGTAAAATATAATTACAAATATCCAAATAAACTAGACGTCAATATAATAAAGTCCACCAAAACAGGTGGACACAAATTTTCTTATTATATGAAAATTTTCACGTAATTTGTGGGGAAAAAAACATGTTTTTTATGCCTCCATACATCCTCTTACACTGTTTATATTTTACGATCACAACTCACTCTTCATTTAACACTAAAGTTATTCCCTTTCTGGATACAAGATTTACAAGGAATTTGATCATATTGAGCTTTTGATTCTAACAACCAAGGATTAAACTAATTCAAGAATGGAAATAGTGTGGAAGTGCCACAGATCAAGCCTCTCTGATTCAAGTCATTTAACATGCTAATTCTGACAGCTGGAGAATCTTACTCCGAAAAAAAAAATAAGTGTCAGCAGCATGTCTGATTATGAAAAGCTGGAAGCAGGTGTCTCTTCAAAAATCAGAGTGGGGCTCCCTCAGTGCCTTAGTGGTCAAGAACCCGCCTGCCAATCTAAGAGACGCAGGTCCAAATAATCCTCTGCGCCACATCTGTTGATGGAGCCTGTGCTCTAGAGCCGGGGGAGCCGCAACTACTGAAGCCTGAGAACTCAGGAGCCCGTGCTCCGCAACGAGAGACGCCGCTGCGATGTGAAGCCCGGGCACTCCAACCAGAGAAAACCCCAGCAGCAACAAAGACCCACCTCGGCCAAAAATAAATAAGTAAAACTATTCGAAACAGTTAGAATGGCGCACTGTACATCTCATACTTTACAGAACCGTCTCTACCACAAACCATTTTATCCTCTCTGAACATGCCAGACGTGTTGCTTAACCATGAATTCACAAGCCTTTCCTCTGAGTGAGCCTTGCGACCGGTAACCTCTTGAGCGAGGGTGAAAAACAGGGAAGGAGTCCACAGGTTACACCTGGGGCTGCCGAAGACAACACAGCAGAAAAGAATGTTTTTCTTCTCTCGGCCTCTGTGTCCCCTGTTAATGTGTGACGGGTCATTGTTGGGAAATATATCCTCACCTGCCATTCCAAGAAATGGAGGGCCTCACGGTTGTTTCACGGCTCAGTCATTAAATGCATGAACGTTCCATCCTGCCGCAAATCACTGACGCAGCCGGACTGTGAAGTCCTTCTCAGAAACGCTGCCACCGTGTGGTAATTTGCAGCTATGACCGGAAGAGCCGTGTGGGTCATATGGTTCATCTCAAGATGGCTGGGCGCCAGCAGAATCTATTCCTATAACTTCCTAACTTCCTATTAAATCATTCCCGTGGGCACGGAGTAAACCATACCGAATCCTGTGGAAATCTTGGGGATTTTTTTAGAATGTGTGAGCTTCCCTCCGGTACACTGACAATATGACAGTTATGTGGGTAATGTGTTTAAAGGGAAACAACAGTTTTTAAGAGCAGAAATAAGAAATCTGTTTTTGCAACTTTATAACCTATGTGTTTTATATTTTATAGAGGTAGCTGCCATTTGAGTTGTTAAAATGTGTGCCTAGAACCCACAAATCAAAAACATCGATTTATTTGAAATGCATCCAATTTAAAAGAGCCATATTCCACCTTCTCCCCACCCTCAGTCCACCACCAAATATCTACAAATCTATGATTTAATCAATTAAATTTTGATTTTTAAAAAATTATCTTTGATTAAATAATCAGAAAATTATTTAATTAATATTTATATTAAAAGCAAAATTGGGGGGATGTCACTGGTGACCCAGCATCTAAGACTCCACACTCCCAATGCAGGGGGCCTGGGTTTGATCCCTGATCAGAGAACTAGATCCCAATGCCACAACTAAGAGATCCCACATGCACCTAGGACCTGGTGCTGCCAAATAAAAGTTTTTCTAAAAAGCAATTTTGGTAAATAGGAGCTGACATCTTACATAGGGCCATTTATAATAAATAGGCCATTATAATAAATAGGGTCATTTATCTTTACTCTCACTTTTTACATGATTCTTACAATGGAAGTGTGAGATAAATGAATAGTACAATCTCCATTTCACATCTGAGAAAGGTAGATGAAGAGGTTAAGTAATCTTGAAACAGTATTAAATATTTAAAATGAACTCAGAGCTCTGCTACCCCTAATTTCTGTTCCAATAGTCAACCTTCATCCATAATTTTCTTTCAAACACCTTTTAAATGCCCAGTAACGTTTTTTTAATATAGAATTTTTATTTTCTTATTCAGTAACCAATTTTATATATCCTGAGAGAAAAATTAGAAAATTACAATTAAGAAATCTAAGCCAGTCCTTCAGAGGCGTGCAAATTATCCTGTGACGTACAGTTTAAAAATCTTATATCTGATCTCATTCCAATAAACCATTCCATTTAGAGTTAATACAAATCATGACTACCTTCTTCTCCTAACAATCTTAATAATTGTTAACATACATACAGTGGTTAAAACATACAGGGCATTTGCAAATATGTGGTAGGTATTTTTAGTTTTATGCATTCTAATTCACTTAAATCTCTCAAAAACCCCATGAACTCTGCATTTGACAGACGAAGAAACAAGTATAGATAGGCTAAATGATTTGCCCAAGGTCACACAGCTAATTTGTGCAGAGTAGAATTCAAAGCCACATGCCGGCTCCTGAAACAGCACTTTCAAGCAGTAACCCTGCTCTCGGTAATAAGCTACTTTACTTCTTCCACAATGAGAATAAATTACCATTCTTTTATTTTATATAGCAGTTATCAGATCCATCAGCTCCAAATAATTCAAACCATGCAACAAAAATCCATGTCCTTGAAAGTCATTGTGAATCCAATCTTATGAACGTGACTATGAATTTTAATGTTTCTAATGCCGTTTGTCTAAATGACAAGCTGCTGCACACTTGAAACTCAAAATGAAGCTTAAGTAAATATGGAGGAAGGGTGTCTGAACTCTTTGTATGTAGCTGAACAATAGCCTGGTACCTCTTAAATAAGTATAATTCCGTTGCATATATCACATTAATCTGTTATTTAAACCAAAAGAAACAAAAATCTATTCTATTTAATTTTATCTAGGACTGATTTAGACAATATTTTCTTCTAACTCAGAAATAAACTCTTTTCCCTCTCCCTATGTCTTCATGGGCCCTCTAGATGCCCTTCCAGGATGCTGAGAGTCAGTGCTATGAACGAAAAAGACAGTTAATGATATTGTACATAAGTAATGTTTTAACTGCAGGGTAGTGGGTGTTTGCGTGCGTGTGCGCGTGTGTGTGTGCATGTGTTTGTTCTGTGACCACAAAACCAGAGGGGGAAGTGTGGGAGCAAGTGGGCTGGGTGGTGGCAAAACGCCTCATGACACATCTCTCCGCCCCCTGTGTAGGTGGAGAGCATCTGGAGCAGCCTTTAAATTCTGCGAGATCCTGGCTGTCAGCAGCAGAGAGAGCAGGCCAGGAGGGCAGCAGTGAGCACTGCATCAGCATCACAGGGACCGGACTCTTCTCTGCAGACCAAGGTAAGCCTGCAGTTTGCTACATGACCCCTGTCCCCTCTGTGCACTGCCTCATTTCATTGGGAAGGTCAATTTGTAAGAAAAAGAGTATAATGGTAAACGCTGTTAATCAGACTTACGTTGTTCTTGTCTTCCGAATATGCATGCCAGATCTAGGGCGGATGTCCTGCAGGAAAGGTGGCCGGTTATTTTGAAAGACAGTCGAATATAAAACTTAAAACTATTTCCATGGAGTCCTCAAAAGAACTGAAACTACTTTTTTCAGTCAGGAAATAAAAGAAAAATTCTACGCCCCTTTGGAATGATTGAATATACATCATTTTAAATGGACAGATGACCATGGGACATTTAAAAGGAAAATGCTTTTTAATATTCATATAAGCTGATGTTAATGCTAATTTTTAATGATTTGATTTATCCCTCTTTCAAGGAAAAAAACCCTTTCTGAATATTTTCACTTCTGTATTTAGCTATTAAAATTTCACCAAAATATCTATATGATACTGTTTAGACTTACAAATAGAAAAGCTGTTGACTTCAATGTTTTCATTTTCATTTCAAACTTCCAGAATACCTTGACTTACTAACTTTAGAGACAGCTTCATCTCACCTAAGTAATACCTTTTAAATAATTTAAGTTGAAAATCACATTTGAAATGCATGTTGGAAAATGGAGGCAGCAAATTTCTCTTTCTTATTTTTATTTTCTCTCTTTGTGTTTTTCTTCTCTGAAAAATAAATATTCTCATTCTTGCTTTATTATTTTAATTCAATTACTGCTGATCTGTTTTTAGGTTTAGATGGCTGGAGATATCAAGTAGTAATCTCTGAAATTCTAAATGTTACAGTTGAATAAATATAGACTTGTAAAATTCCTCTCTCCCTTGCCTAATAGTGAGAGATGGAAAATAAAGGTGGCAGTACAAATATTAACTCAAAAGATCATAATATTAAAAAGAAATTTGTCAAGTATTTCCACACAAAATACATATTTATTTGTGGTGATTTTGTAATGTGGTAGCCTAAAAAAGCATCACTGTTTTGACCTTAGAAAAGATAAAATATTTCTTACAAAATATTTTGCAGGAAAAATCATTACCATGAGAATTGCAGTGATTTGCTGCTGCCTCTTGGGCATTGCCTCCGCCCTTCCAGTGAGTACAACTGAATCTTTTTTGAAAAAAAAACTCCTTATAATAAATGAATTGTGTGTTTCACTGTTGCTAGGAACACATTCACACTGTAATATTTCTTCACCTTTCTATTTCAAAGGTTAAACAGACCAATTCTGGCAGCTCTGAGGAAAAGCAGGTAAGCATCTTTTTGGTTTATGATATAGTTATTTATACAACTGCTGCAAGATGTACTACAAACATACGACAATTTTACTTATTTGCACAGTCAAACAAAATAACTTATAAGTATTTATTGGGTGCCTGCTATGGTTCTAGTGCAGTACCAAGCATAGAATTGCTTTTAATTAATACAGTCTCTTAAAACTAAACTAGATTTCTTAATACAATAAAATGATGCTTTATGTCAATCATTTCTATAAAATGAGTTCTGTGAAGTTGTGTGACTTTTGTTTCCGTGAGTCAACCTAGTTCTAGAAGTAAAAAAATCCATCTTTCACTTTACTTAATGGCAAGGTAAGTTTAAAATTCACTTCACGTATTGGAGAGTTGGCATAACCATAATATTCACAGTATCTCTGAAGATATTTGCTAAGAAACCCATTGTCTTTAAAAAAAAAAAAGTACATTTATGCTGTTTGTATCTATTGTGCTTATCAGATGACTTTAGATTTTTCTAACCAAACATAAGACCAAATCAAACTCTTCATAATTATTCCACCCAGCACCGTAGATGTACCTGTCCCTCCACAATAGGTGAAACCATGCCAGCCAAACAACAAACGGGTATTGTCCCAAGGAGCTTGGACAAAAAGGCACACAGGGTTCAATCCCAGATAAATAGAATAAAGGCCAATATAGAGCTGTCTGAGGTCACTGCAGTTAGATTGCTCAATGAAGATGTTAGGAGAAGTGCTGCAGGGGGTGTTTGGATATGCAAATGGGCATGTGTAGTGTGTCTGTTTTCCAACTGATCTAATAACACAAGTATTGAATCACAATAATAAGCCAGAAAATTAACATTTCCAGAGAAAATAGAGGTCACGCTCTTCGAGGCAAGAATTAGTGCCTTTTTAATAGAAAAAAATATGGCACATGAAGCTATGGCAGTGTAAGTGGTTAAATGTTACTTAAGAGATAAGTGGAGAGCAGACAGAACCTTCTAGAATCCTAGAAATGTAGAGCTAGTAGGAAGTATGGAAAGTCTACAAAGAGACACCCCTGAAGATGAAAACACTGGTTATCTATGAGTGATATGATTACTGAGCAATTTTAGTTTGTTTTTCTTATCTGTATGTTCTTCATATTACTTTTTAAAAATTATGAACTTATAAATACAGATAAAGCCTGATTACATATATCATCAGAAAAATATATTAATTATATATCAATTATAACATATTTGTGTAAATATAATGTATTTTTATATAAATATATATTTTAAAGAAAAAATAGGGAACCTTTGAACTCATCTACAGCAGTAGTATTCATGTTTTTTAGTTAAAGAAAGCCCTTCTTTCAGCAAAAACCTTCATAGAAGTCCAATATGAAACTTCTCTGGTTAGAACCAGACATGGGGAAGCCCGAAGTGCTACTGCCCACTTTCCTTCCTTTCTTCCGCTCCTTGGCTGTGAAAGAATTCTTGGAGCCCCTAAGGTGGCTCTTCCCAATGACAGAGATGTGAAGTGATTGCCCTGGGTCACGCAGCCCACCAGATGACACTTATTCAGAGCAATTTCCACTCCTCTGCACCAGCATCTTATTGCCATTTCCCAGATAAATAATTTGGCTGAGTGAAAGATCATTCCATTCATGTCTTTGGCAACTTACATCAAAAAAACTTTTATGCAATGGTGTTGATATTATATTTCTGCACTGTCCACTAAGGTAGCCATAAACACATGTGACTATTGGACACTCACAATGTAGCTAGTGCCAGAGAAGATAGTTTTCTTTATTAACTTGAATAGCCATGAGTTTCATGGCTAGAGGATACCATTCATGACTGCACAGCCTGAGAGAGTTTCTTCTTCCATAGAGGAAGTAAAAAAGGAAGACCAGTGCTAATTAAGGGCACCTCTGATTTAGTTGTGTTTCATCTGAGGAATTTCAGCTATCAGACATAGAACAGGAAGGCAGTGTATCATCAGTGTGAGGAGCCACTGGATTTAAACCCTGGCTCTGCTACTTACCATCACTGAACTTTATTGTGGGCTTCCCATCTGGTGGCTCAGATGCTAAAGAATCTGCCCGCAGTGCAGGAGACCTGGGCTTGATCCCTGGATCAGTCAGGAAGATCCCCTGGAGAAAGGAATGGCTATTCACTCCAATATTCTTGCCTGGAGAATTCCGTGGACAGAGGCTGAAGGAATAATAGTAATAATGATGAGACTCATCTCAGGATTAAACGAATTAGTATTTATAAGTCACTTTGATAGTGTGCCTGGCTTACAGTAAGTGTTATGTAAAAGTCTGTTAAATGAATCTATCAAAAAGAATAAATTATGAAAGACATCACTAAGGTTCTAATTGACTAAATAATGCATATTATGCTTATCTGTCAAGATTGGGGAAGAATCGTTATTTCAGCTTATCACTTAGAGGCCCCTGTTTCTTTAAAATAATAATAATAATAATGACAAATATGCAACTATCTTTTGTAGCTTAACAACAAATACCCAGATGCTGTAGCCACATGGCTAAAGCCTGACCCATCTCAGAAGCAGACTTTCCTAACGCCACAGGTATTTTTCATTTTAATTAACTCTAAATATTAAAATTCTCACAATTAAAGAACAACCACCACAAAAAATAGCCGCCAAGCCGGCCATTTGAGCTGGTTAAATGGATCTTTCCTGCCTGTTGGGCTTCCCTGATAGCTCAGTTGGTAAAGAATCCAACTGCAATGGCTTTCCTGGTGGCTCAGATAGTAAAGCATCTGCCTGCAACATGGGAGACCCAGGTTCAATCCCTGGGTCGGGAAGAGTCCCTGGAGAAGGAAATGGCAACTCACTCTAGTACTCTTGCCTGGAAAATTTCCATGGACTGAGGAGCCTGGTAGGCTACAGTCCACGGGGTCACAAAGAGTTGGACACAACTGAGCAACTTCACTTCACTTTCCTGCCTGTTTGTAAATGTGAGCTTAGGACACCAATTGATCTGTCAGGTTGTCTTCCTGCTTAATCCTTCTACCAATGAGGCTAGAAAAATAAGACCTGCTTTGGGTGGAAAAAGCAAACTTTTGAATAAAAAAGTTAAGTGTGTATGATGTACACTGATTTGTGTCTTTTCTTCTTCAGAATTCTGTGTCCTCTGAGGAAACTGATGACAACAAACAAAATGTGAGTTTTCGCTTTGATTCTGATGTATGTTGTGCCTTAGACTCAGGAAGGGACTCTTTATCCTAATGACATTTCCCAGGTTCAAATTCTGGCAAAACTCCATTAGCAAATCCTCCAGGAACTAGTTTTTATTGGGACTATTAATATATTTGCTGAGCAAAGGGATAAGTTAAATTTGCTTTCCTTAAGATTCTATTTGAAGATGCCAAGAATCTGTAAGAGAAGTTAGGTAAATGACCCAGGATATTTGCAAATCAGAAATGTAATAAACATTAACTGGTTAACTGAGCTGCAGTTTCTACACATGGATAAGAGAGTCACCTTTTGATTATCCAGGCTAATAGGGAGGTGATTTCAGTTTTGGGGGTGTGCATTAATACATGGATTCTCTGATCCCCTGAGAATTCTCATTTCAAATAGAAAAGGTAATCTCACAATTATGTATCTGTATTTATTGGATTATTGAATTTGTTAAGTCAGTGTTTAATATGAACAAGGAAACACAGTGTCATTGATACAAATCTTATAACTCATATGTTTGGCTTGAAAATATCTATGAAAATAGTTTTTATGAGAAAGCAAGAAAGATGCCTTAGGGTTCCATTTACCCTTGTGTTAAAGGGGAAATTGGAATAGGCTCACTTTAGCATTGAAAAGCTGTTAAGTGCTTTGTTGTGAATACAAAGTTTCTAAAACTAAATAAAGATAGTAAAATACTAATTCACTTTAAAGACTAAGGGAAAATAAAAACCCTGACACCCATTTTTCTGGCCGTCTTGATTTCTAGACCCTCCCAAGTAAGTCCAATGAAAGCCCTGAGCAAACAGACGACCTCGATGATGATGACGATGAAAACAGCCAGGACGTCACCTCTAACGACTCCGACGATACTGATAACACCGATGACTCTGACCATTCCAACGAGTCTCACCATTCTGATGAATCTGATGAAGCTGATTTTCCCACTGACATTCCAACAACCGCAGTTTCCACTCCACCTATCCCTACAGAAAACACAAATGATGGCCGAGGTGATAGTGTGGCTTATGGACTGAAGTCAAAATCTAAGAAGTTCCGCCGATCTAGCATTCAGGTAAATCTTGAGTAGACACATTGGATGGTTATGATTAGAGCCCAATTCTAGGAAACTAGAGTCTGCGTGCTCACTTATGCATTCATTCAGCAAGCATTATTACTTTATGATCACTAAATACAAAACCTTTTCCCACTTGGTTTTTGCGTTCAAGTCCACATAATTTCTCCTTAATTTTGTCTCTGAATCACAATGCAATTTTTTCAAATCCTGCTTAAAAAGCACTTATTGTATTCACTTTTTTAAATTAAAAATGACCTTTGGAAAAGAGTAATTATTTTCACAATATAGTGGTCATATCTTGAAGTTAAACACATAAGAACTGGAGAGTTGCAAATCACACTGACTTTATAGTCAAAGGATCTGGATATGGTGCATAGCCTTGCCATTTACTATTGACTTTACTTTTAGCTTTCGATTCATTTTCCCTTTATGTAAAACAGACAATGAGACATACCTCATAGATTTCCTCACATACATAATTCATGTACTTATTAAACTAAAGGAGATGACATAATGAAAGGACTTGGTTTTTTAAAAAGTAACATGCTAGTATTTTCTTTTCTTTTCTTTTTTTGCTTCAGCCAAATTTAGACATTTTTATAGAATACTTTGGTGTGGAAGTTAGAAGGCATTAGAGAATTACAGTGCTTCCCTCCCTAGCTGTTCACTGAATTCTTCTCCTGTTTGTGCTGTGATTCAGAGCCCAGATGCCACAGAGGAGGACTTCCCATCACACGTAGAGAGCGAGGAGATGCATGATGCACCCAAGAAGACGAGTCAGCTGAATGACCACAGCAAGGAAACCAACAGCAGCGAGCTTTCCAAAGAACTCAAGCCGAAGGCCAAGGATGAGAGCAACAAGCATTCCGATGTGATTGAGAGTCAGGAAAATTCCAAAGTCAGCCAAGAATTCCATAGCCTTGAAGACAAGCTAGACCTCGATCATAAGAGTGAAGAAGAAAACAAACACCTGAAAATTCGCATTTCTCATGAATTAGATAGTACCTCTTCTGAGGTCAATTGAAAGGAGAAAATACCATTTCTTACTTTGCTTTTAGTAAAAAGAAAAGGATACATTAAAGCAGGGTGGGAGACAATATGAAGTGCATATTTCTCAGCTTAGTTGGTGAATGTATATGTGTGTAGATCTGGAAACAGGTCATGTTTTTGATCATTAGTTTAGTGTGTGGCTTCATAGTAACACCCTTATAAACTAAAAGCTTCAGGGTTTAGTCTATGTTCTTTCCACATAAAAAATGCAAACCATCACAGCATTTTAATGTTTGCTACCCTTTTATGAATAGAAATTTATGTAGAAGCAACCAAAATACTGTTACACACTTTTAAGAAAGAATATAAAATTTCATGTCACTATGGTCTTTTGTTTTTTTAAATTAGTATATATTTTGTTGTGATTATTTTTGCTGGTGTGAATAAATCTTTTATGTTGAGTGTAATGAGAGTCTGGTGGTATCAGTTGTTTCTTATTTGGTTTCCTACAGTTGCCTAACAATTATAAAGGTAATCAGTTTAATTACATTAACATGCTGGACATAATACAGGGCAATCTAAGACCTGCTGGGTCAATTATACAGCCTCTGAGCTGAAGTTCCCGTCAAGGAAAGAAGAGTCAGCAAGGGTTGACATTCAATCAGTAACACTCCAAACATGCGGGGGTCCGTGGGTCACTTCCACTCGATGAAAGCAACCTTTTTCTAGTGTTCACAAAGCTGATGCAAAAGTTAAGAAGGGCTTCCCTAGTGGCTTAGTGGTTAAGAATCCTCCTGCCAATGCAGGGGACGTGGGTTCAATTCCTGATCCAGGGAGATCCCACATGCAGCCCGAGCACCACGACTACCGAGCCCACACGCCTAGAGACTGTGCTCCACAATAAGAGAAGCCACCACAAGAAGCTCCCACACTGCAACCAGGAATAGCCCCCGCTCCCCACAACTAGAGATGGCCTGCATGCAACAACAAAGACCCAGCAGCCAAAAATCAATAAATCTTTTTTAAAAAACGAAAAGCTAATGAATGCCTAGATGCAACAACAAATAAATTTTACTGTTTCTTATCATTCTCCATTAATTCTCTCAATAAGTTTATTGCTTTCTTGCCCTTGGATGGCAACTTGGTAGTTCCCATAGCTATTCTGATCATCTGTAGATATTGAACAAATAGTCCTTTTTTTAAATTGGATAAAACCTAAATGCAGTTTCAGCTAATACTCAGAATTTTCAACTTCATTCAAAACTAAAAGTTCTGGAAACCTGAAGTGGAGCATGTGCCTTTATTTCATGCTTTGCTCCTCTGCTCTTCCTTAAACTAGAAATCCCATTGGAAAATTGTTAATTCTTTATTAAACAACTCTTCAGATAAAGTGGAAAATTTTAACTTGCAGAATTTCTAAAAAAGTGTTGTAATGAAATGTAAACTCAATAGAGTACAGTTAATAGATCACAGTTCTGGTGATCACAGAAAATTCATAGCCTTAAATTCTTGCAACAACAACAAAATAAAAGAATGAAAATAAATATATAAATATATTTAGTTCCCACCTTAAAAATTAGAAAAGAACAACAAAGGAAAAGAAAGCATAAGGAAGGAAATAATAAAGTTAAAAATAAAAGTAATGAGGTAGAGAACAGGAAAGCAATAGAAATTAATCAAAATGCTGATTCTTTGTTAAAAAACAAATCAGCACAACAGATAAACCACTAGCTGACCGAATAAAGGAAGAAAGTGAGAAAACACAAATGAGAAATAAAAACAAGGAGATAACCAAGGACATGACAAAATTTTTAAAATCAAAAGTGACTTACTTTGCACAAGTCAAACAGAAAATCTAGGTGAATTGGATTATTTCCTAGGAAAATACAATTTACCAAAATTGACTTTGCTAATCATAGAAAACACAAATGGAAATTTTCTATAGTGGAAAAAGAAAAAGTTATCAAAGAACTATCTATAAAAACTAGGCCCAAATGATTTTACAGTGGAATTTTATCAAAACTTCAAAGACTAGATAATCTCAATACCATTTAAATTGTAGCAAAAAAGGAAAACTCTCAAACGATCTTTATAAAACAAGTATTACTTTGACACAAATCTGGTAATGATTGCAAACACACAAACACACACATACAACTATAAACCAATCTCACTTGTGACTGGCAATGGAAAAATCCTAAATAAAATGCCAGCAAATAGAATCTAAAATCAAGTTTAAAGAATGCATCATCATCAGGGGGATTTATTTCCAGACAATGATGCTTCAGTATTAGTAAATTCATTCCTATAATGGACCATATCATTAAATCTAGACAGAAAGATGTCATATGATTAGATCTCCATTCGAATACTAGCATCATTATTAATGAAGAAGCATTACAGGTATTTCCATTAAGAACAAGGACCAAGTAAGTTTCTCCTTTCTCTCTGCAATTATATAACATAGCTTTGGAAATACAAGCTAGCAATCATAAGCATTAGATGCATAAGAAGTGAGAAATAATTTATGTTTTTATGTAAACTAATACTACACCTAGAAAACAGAGAATAAGCACTAAAAATAACAACTAACAAGTTCTGTAAGGAAGCATGATATAAAATTTAGCTGAAAGTATATTTACAAAAAACACTAAGTGATCATTTGAAAGATATGATGTTATTAATATATAAAATAATAAAGATAAAATACTTAACAGAAAATGTGCTAAAACTATTTTGGAAAACTGTGCAATACTCCTGTAAACTAAAAAAAAAGAGGCCTGAAACAAATGGAAAGGCTCTGTTTATTCTCACACAGGAAAATCCATCATTAACATATCAATACTCCCTTCATAATATATAAATGCAATGTGATTCCAAATAAAATAAAAGTCATTTTTTCCCTGAAGCTATGCAAGCTAATTCTATAATCCATATGGAAAAGTAAACATACAACAATATGAAGGAAAATCCTGAAAAATAAAAGCAGTAAGGGAGAACTAGCCCTAACAAATACTAAGACCATAAAGCCTCGCTAATAAAAACACTGTGGTGTCAGCAAATAAATATATTTTTTGTTGTTCAGTTGCTCAGTTACAGCCAACTCTTTGCAACCCCATGGACTGCAGCATGCCAGGCTTCCCTGTCCATCACCATCTCCCAGAGCTTGCTCAAACTTATGTCCATTGAGTCAGTGATGCCATCCAACCATCTTGTCCTCTGTCATCCCCTTCTCCTCCTGTCATCAATCTTTCCCAGGATCAATCTTTTCTAATGAGTCAGCTCTTTGCATCAGGTGGCTAAAGTAATGGAGCTTCAGCTCCTTCCAATGAATATTCAAGACTGATTTCCTTCAGGATTAACTGGTTTGATATTCTTTCTGTGCAAGGGACTCTCAAGAGTCTTCTCCAACACCACAGTTCAAAAGCATCAATTCTTCCGCACTCAGCCTTCTTTATGGTCCAACGCTCACATCCATACAGGACTACTGGGAAAACCACAGCTTTGACTAGATGGACCTTTGTTGGCAAAGTAATGTCTGTTTTTTAATATGCTGTCTAGTTTTGTCATAACTTTCCTTCCAGGGAGCAAGCGTCTTTTAATTTAATGGCTGCTGTCACCATCTTCCGTTATGTTGGAGCATATGAAAATAAAGTCTGTCACTGTTTCCATTGTTTCCCCATCTATTTGCTATGAAGTGATGGGACCAGATGCCATGATCTTCATTTTTGGAATGCTGAGTTTTAATTCATTCTCCTTTTTCATCTTCATCAAGAGGCTCTTTAGTTCCTCTTTGCTTTCTGCCATAAGGGTGATATCATCTGCATATCTGAGGTTATTGTCATTTCTCCTGGCAATCTTGATTCCATCTTGGGCTTTGCATAATGTACTCTGCATAGAAGTTAAATAAGCAGTGTGAAAATATACAGCCTTGATGTACTCCTTTCCCAATTTGGAACCAGTCTGTTCTTCCATGTCTGATTCTAACTGTTGCTTCTTGACCAGAATAAATAGATAGAGTGAACCAAAAAGCAAGCTACACCAAATCTACTGATGCTTTGATCTTGAACTTTCCAGCCTCCATAACTGTTGGTACTTGTAAGGCACCAGTCCATAGTAGCCCAAACAGACCAAGACACTACCATCCTTGTTGTCATCATTAGTCAAGTATATTGGACTCCCAATATACTTGCTTTAATTGTCAGTTCATCACAATAAACTATAGGTAATATCTTTATTAATTGTTATGGTGTACCAAAGAAGACAAGAATCCATTTCCCATTAGTAAGTGGTCTAGCACTATAGTCAAATCCAAGGACATGACCAAGTTAATCCTGAAACTGCAGTTTGAAATGATGGTATGATTAAAAACCATCCTCTGCACTGTATCAGTTAAGATTCAGTGAGAAGACAAGGAACGTATCAGTTATTTAAAAAGGGAAAATTTAACATAAAGACTTATTAACAAGAAGCTGGGGATGAACCGGAGGACATTAAAAAAAAAATCACCTTAACAATACCATAGGATTACCTGCTTGCTCAGTCATATCTGACTCTTTGCAACCCCATAGACTGTAGCCTGCTAGGCTCCTTGGTAGATGGAATTTTCCAGGAAGAATATACTGGAGCTATAAAAAGGAACACATTTGAGTCAGTTCTAATGAAGTGGATGAACTGTTATATTATACAGAGTGAAGTAAGTCAGAAAGAGAAAGACAAATATCATATATTAATGCATATATATGGAATCTAGAAAGATAGTACTGACAATTCTACTTGCAGGGCAGCAAAGGAGACACAGACATTTTGGGCACAGTAGGGGAAGGAGAAGGTGGCATGATTTGGGAGAATAGCATTGAAACATATACATTATCATATATAAAATAAACAGCCAATGGAACAATGTATGATGCCGTGAACAAAAAGCCAGTGCTTTACGACAACATAGAGGGGTAGGATAGGGAGGGAGGTGGAAGGGGAGTTCAAGAAGGAAGGCATATATGTATACCTAATGCCAATTCATGTTGATGTATG